TATTGCCTTTGAAAAACAAAGAGGTAAAAATTGCATAGTCTGTGTAATGTTTTTTAGGAGAGGCAAAGTCTTTCATAAATCAGAAAATGTGCCCACCACCAGATATGTATACATTCTGTTTCCACACAAGGAGACATTATCAGAACAAAGAAGCTGTAGTAACATCAAAAGAAAAATATTTAACTGTAGTTCTTTTCACGAGAACAAGCAAACCTACCAAGACAGAACTAAATGGCACACTGCAGGTTAAGAATCTAACATTCTGCGGTAACTACAATTGAGAGAGAAAAAATTAATGGAGAAAAAAATATCTGCAACAACTATATAACTTACTTCTCATTTAATAAGAAGGTAGTTAAGAGTGTTGTAGATTTAGAAATGACTTACCAGTCTTCTGAACACGAGTGTTAGAGGCATGGAGATTCCTTGCAGCAATGAAGGATGACCCCAAAGCATTTTTGGAGACCTAGGGCAATGACATTTTTTTAAATCTGACTTTTTTTTAAACATTTCTTTTTAGAGACAGGGGAAGGGAGGGAGAAAAAAAGGTAGAGACACATTTATGAGGGAGGGAAACATCGATCAGTTGCCTCTTGCACACCCCCACCCGCAGACCTGGCCTGGCCAGCAACCAACCCAGGCATGTGCTTTGACTGGGGAACAACCGGTGACCTCTCAGTCTGCACTGACCTCTCAGTTTGCAGGACAACCCCCAACCCACTGAGCCATACCAATCAAGGCTAAATCTTAATTTTAAAAAGATCTTTGTAAAACTGGCAAGCTTGAATGCAGGCTTAGTTTGACTGAGTTATCAGCTAAAATACAGTTATACTCAAAATACTATGCTCAAAAAAACTGGAAGACAATTAAGCAGATAAGAAAATACCTTCTGATGTATGAAAAATCTATTATGCAGTTCCTAGTACACTGTAAGTATATGCAACAATTAACAAAGTGTCTTTCCCTTTAAAGACATCAGATACTATTATTTCGACTTTTAGAGATGTATTTCATTTGATCTGGGGAAATTGCCAGTAAGATAAATTGCTCCCTAAAAGGTGCAGATCTCAATAGATTATCTATTTAAAAAAAAATTTAAAAATCAGGCAAACAAAAAACTGTCAGTGTTAGAATTTGAGGCATAGCACATGCAACCCTTTTCTTTAAACTGCCTTCAACAAAACCTGCATCAATCTGGACCCCTCCTTCCCCAAATTTTAATACTGTGACTGGTTACGGTCCATTCTGAAGCTTCTTTAGGACCTGGGTGAAAATCGTTAAAAATGTGTTTTGCTAACAGAAACCCAGGGAGCTACCAGCGGTTGTGTTGGGGCAGTAACATGCCCAGCGTATTTATCTTTCAAACTAAGACTACTTTTAAGATGAGAAAAAAAGAAAGTGTAAAAGCACATACATAGGATGTAAAGGTTATGTTAACTTCAAGAGAGAGCGCTAATGAAGAGCATTGACCTTTACAGATATTTTCCAACCTACGGTCTATTCTCCTGGAGTTCTGAATCACTGTCTAACAATTCCTCAAGGACGAAACCTTAAGACAAGTCGAAGTACCACAAAGCAAAGCCTTCTGCTAGACTGAGACAACTTAGAAGCCAGCCTCCCTGCTGTCACGGTAGCGGCCACAGGAAATGCACACTTGCACCTGAGGAGTGTTTTCACGACCGTTTCAATATTTAGGCCTAAAATATCACCTACTTAAGTATTCGGAAAATCACCTTTATTGCTCTCCTGTGAACCGACCTCCAAGGAAAGGCTGGAATGCCGGGACCCGCTGACCTTCATGCAATGTCAGGCTTGCCCAGTTCGCTCTGACCTTCAGCGAAGAAGTCCCGGAGAATCAACCAGGCCGGGCCTCGCTGTTTCGGAGCAGGCTTCGGACAGCGCACAAGCCCTGACCTTCTCCCAAGGCCCGTCAAGGGCCGCTCTCAACTGAAGGCGGAAATCCTCCTGAGGCCCCAATCTCTGGACAGCATCAAGCTCACTGCCTCCCCTGCACCACTCTGTACCATCCCGCACGGATGGCGAACACGAGGGTTTTTTCGCCGTCTGCCCTGCCCTGTGCAGCCAGGCCTGAGCAGCCAGCAGTGCAAGATGGCGGCGCCCGCCATAGCCCCTCACCCTCCTTGCAGAAAAGCTCCCGAACTGCCGCAGGACGACCAACCCACCACCGTCCCCACAGGGCCCCCTTCCTCCCAGTGAAGCCCCGCGCTCACCAGCCCGGCTCGCCGAGGGAGGGCACGGGCCACAGCCGCGGCGACGCGCACAGACAACATCTTTGCAGCTCTTAGATGGTTCCTCCACAGCCGCAGCCTCCGGACTGACTGGGACAAAATGGCTGAGCGGCGAGGAAGGTCAAGGGAGCCGGCCTACTTGACCCGGAAGTACCGCCCCTCGCTTTCACCTCCGGACGCAAATCTACCATTTGCTGAGGAGGGGGCGTTACTTTTTCTTTTTTTAAGTATTATTTTTATAATTAAATTTAAAAACGAGTAATTAAACCTTTGCCAGCTTCTACCCAGGCATTGGCTACACATATACTTTGGTCTTTCGAGTCGACCTTGCGGCTGCCCGGGGCGACCACGTGTGTAGCGGAACAAGCTATGAAGCGGTTTCCTGGCCGTGTTCCGGGTGCGAGGTGATGCTGGCGTCACCTTGTCCCGGTGGGAGGTGATGTTGACACCACTTCTGAGGGCGCAGCAGGCATGACCGTGAGGCAGGTTGTTGGTGTCCGGTCCGAGGCTACCGCTGTTAAACAGTGTCGGCCGCAAGACGTTTTCTGCTAAGAGCTGCTCAGATCAACGGAGCCCCACGCTACACCCTCTGAATTTGACAAACACCCACACCAATACGCCCTCAAGTTGGAGAATCGCTGTTCTTTTGAATCATGCCTGCAAATTAGAGGAAATTGTTTTAACATTGTTACATGCACAAGGAGTTTGAGCAGAGTGGTTGCCAGTCCTACAGAGAAGAATGGTATAGAATCAGTGGTCTCACTCCAGAGTGGACTAGGATTCAAGTTTTCCTTTACCAATAACTAGTCTCATGACAGTAGGAACTCGGCTTTTTCATTTGGAGTAAAACGGAAATGATGAAAATAACTTCCGTACCTTCCCAGTAAGATTTCAATGGGACTCCCCTCCCCCCAACACACAGAATTTTTGTGATACTAAGATTTTTGTGATATGTAGAGAATTTAGAGGGAATGTTGTGTATTTTGTGATAACAGAGCCTATTCACGTTGACTCCACCTGTTTCTTTCATCTCAGCTTCACAGCAAATCCTGGTTTACACTCATAATCTTAACGGGACAAGGATATGAGCTTAAAAAGATCATCTCCTAAAACATAACTTGCAAATGTATGGTCAGCAATCCCTTTCTATAATATTCTACTTCCTGTACAAGGCAAACCATGAGTAAGTAAATATGACAATCCTTTTCCTGGGAATCTGGTAGGACTAGGTAGGAATAAGAAAAAAATTGGTTGTGCAAATAAAAGTGCAGGGATATTTTCTCCAATATGTAGTAATGAAAGTGGACAAAGGGCATAAAAATAAATTTCTCCTTCCCCATACTCACAGGCTATACCAACTTATCTGAAATTTTGTTAATAAACAGAGATGCATTTAACTGAAACAAAAATAATCAGAAAGCTATACAATATGGTATTGGCTAGTTAACAAAATTCCTTTGAAAAGAAAGATTTAATCATTCTAAATATGCATATGACTGACCAGATGATGTGGACAAAAGGCCAGACATAAATGTCATCCACTTGAGATGGGCTAGCCACCAAGAGGGGTCTCTACAGAATACCATTGTCCTGGTCAAAGTGCCACAGTCCAGGGTAGAGCCTTCAGCTGTGGCCATTTAGAAACCAGAATATGTAAACACAGTAGAAATGAGTCTGATTCTCAGAACAGATTTAGGTAACCTTAGAGAAGCCGTAAAATCAAGACACAAGTTTATTACTATATTTCCTAGATGCTGAATTGCAACTTTTTTGAATACTTCAACATTTTTAAATAAAAATGTTTCTTATGATAGAAAAAAATGCATATGACTTCAAAGAAAGAAATTTGGTGCTAAGTCTGATCCACAAGTTGAGATTGAATTACATATCACAGAAAGTTGAATACATGGCCTACCTTTCCTTATGTAACACAGTACACTACAGGAGGTTGCAACAGCGGTGTGAAATATATAACCTGAGGAAACTGAAACACCAAACTGGAGCCAAAACACTGTGGTCAGATTCCAGCTGTACCACCTAAACTTGGTTGAGTCATTTAATCTATGGGTGTGTGGTTCTCATGTGAAAATAGGTAAAATAATAGGAGTCCAACTATTTTACAGGGTTCCTTTAACAATGACAAAAATAGGAAAACACAGAAAACTATGCATTGCTATAGCAATATCAAGAACCACTCACAGTGTTAACTACAGTGATGGAGGAAGGAGAGAATTTTAGGGAAGACGAGAAGTAATGGAAGAATGAGTGGCAGTGGCAGAAGTTGGCTGTCAACCGTTTTAAAACAGTCCCCAGCACAATTTAGCTCTTGAGTAGTGGGAACTAACGGATGAGATTAAGGCTGCTGCAATTTATAGTGCCAGGGTAAAATAAAAAATTAAAGCTAATGCACTCAGTGTGGAATAAACACAAGCATCTGCTATGCAGAAAACAAGTTTCAGGTTGTTGTTTTTTTTTTAAGACAAGCAATTCGAGTGCGAAATAAAAATATAAGAAAGGAAACACAGCCTGTTTCTAGGCAATTCTACTCCCTCCTGTAGATTATACCGTGGAGAGCGGAGGGCAGGGGGAGGTGGCAAGCAGGAAGAAGCTTAACGCGGCTGGACCGCGGAGCAACCTTTGGCCAAGGGCGCTCAGCAGCCTGAAGTCCTAGAAGAACTACTGCTCCCAGAAATCTCGGGCGCCTTTCGCGGAGGGGTGGAGCAACGGTGTGTGGGCGGGGCCTTCAGACCGAGCCGGGCAATTCTCCCGCGGGGAGCTGTTGGAGAAGTGGCGGGAGCGGCAGCTATGGAAGCGCAGGAGGAGAAGGAAGCGCAGGAGGAGAAGGAAGCGCAGGTGATGGGGCGGGAGCGGGCTTTTGCGGCGTCCTAAAAACGGAGACTTTGACACACCCAACCCCGCGGGCGGATCGCCTTTGCGCATCACGCCTACTTGCCTTCTCCGCCGGCCCGTCTTTAGTGCTGTCTTCAGGCTCAGCAATCTCCCCTTTGCTTGGACTGCCCTGGGAAAGGGCCTTTCTCTTTCGTCCCCGGACTTTCCTTGCTTAGTCTCATATACTAATGCTGTAGCACCTTCATAGTGAGCTTTAAAATTATTCGAGTGCTGCAAATTATTAGCCTATATTCTGCTTTTGTATCTTTGGGATAGGATGGGTTGTTTTCTGGTAATTTTGCTCCTTGTGCTTTCTCACTTCTTAATTTCCTGACATCTAGTATCTACCTCCTTAAAGACAAGTTAGGATACGAAGTAGGAAGTCAGAATATTCATCGAAAGCATTTTGTGTGCCTCTGGTCACATCTTTGTAATATTTGCTTTGTGCCATTACAGTAAACAGGACATAATTTTGGCTTCCTTTTAATCGCTAGGTTGCTGCCTGGTTGAAAAAGGTATTTGGCGATCATCCCATTCCACAATATGAGGTGAATCCACGGACCACAGAGATTTTACATCACCTCTCGGAACGCAACAGGGTCCGGGACAGGGATGTCCACCTGGTAATAGAGGACTGGAAACAGAAAGCAAGTGAATATGAATCAGAAGGTGAGATTAATTCCGGAGTTTTGAATGAGATGGCTAGAGGTAACCAAATTTTATAACACTAAAGTGTACAAGGTTAATTTAGTGTAGACTGCTTTTTAGTTTTGCTTCATTTTACCTAGATTTGTCTTCTTTTGTTATAAATTTTAAGGTATAAATCTTAAGGTATAAATTTCGTTATAGTATATATTTTATTTGTATTCTGATATAAGCCTTGAAAGGTAAGTCTAAACTTAATTAGCCAGATATACAAGATGGGATGTGGTTTTTCTCTTATGTACCCTTTGGATCTGTGTCTGGTCCCCATGCTTTAGTTATAATGAGCACTCAGGATACCTGAGGTGGCAGCCATGAACTGTGAGACCTGAACAAATTGCCCTATTGCTAAGTATTCATAGGGTTGCATTAGAATGTTCTGTTGTGCACATGTAGTTTGAAAAAGTGCCTTTAAGACACCTATTGTTTTTATGATACAAACCACACACACACACAAAAAAGCCAGATTGATAAAAATCTCTTTATGGCCCTGGCTTGCAAGGCTTAGTTGGTTGGGCATCATCCCACAGGGCAAGAGGTTGCCAGTTCGATTTCCAATTCGATTCCCAGTCAGGGCGCATGCTTGGGTTGCAGGTCCAGTTTCTGGTTGGGCCCCGGTGGGAGAGGCAAGTGATCGATGTTTCTCTCCCTCTCATTCTCCCTCCCTACCCCCGTCTCTAAAAATAAATAAATAAACAATTAAAATTTTTTAAAAAGTCTTTTTATGAGTGGGAACATACAAAAGAGAAAGGAAACAAGAGCTACATTTACCCTATATTTAGCCATGTGTATGGCATGTTTTACATACAATGTTTTAATGACGTGCAATTTATATTATAATTCTACTGCATCTGTGCTTTGTTCCAATTTTCTTTTAAAAATTCCTGTACCGTAAGACTTGACTTTTTGTTCTGGTGTACTGTTTTAACACACGTGGATTCTGGAATCCACCCGCACAATCAGGATGCAGAGCAGTCTGTCACACCCCCTCTCAAAACCCTCCCTGCAGTGCTGCTTTATAGTTCTTTTAAAATTGTTTTAGTTTCAAGTGAATTTGTTTTTATAGTTAATTAAAATACAGTATGGAGAAAGAGGCTTTGAGTCCCAAAATATCTTATTTTCTAAGAGCTTTCTTATTCTGTAAGAAAAAAAAACAAACTAGAATTTTTCAAAGTAAGATTATTTATGACTGTCCTTAAGTACCTTTTTGGGTGACACATGGTAAATAGCAAATGTTTCTATTAATATATATAAAATTTTGATACAATTTTTCATGTTTAAATATCTAGAAGAGTCCTGCCATTTTTATTTGTTAGCACTGGCATGTCACAGAATTGAACCATTACTTCTCTTTTCTAAGCTTTTCATTCTTTTAGACATCCAGTAGAAGACAAAATTTGTGGGACCTTGTAACAAGTATAGATGCATGTATACCGTTAAAGAGGTCTTGGTTTCTCAGTCTGTAATTCTAAATTTAGAGTAGTGTAGCTCTTTGGACTTTAATGACTCTTGAGCTAAAAATCACTTTTTAAAAAAATTTGTATTGTGTAAAAATTATTTTAATGCAATTTTTATTTCTGCACCACACAGTTCTTTGCAGTTTGAGATTGGGACATTTTGGAAATATTTTCAGGAATTGGAAAAGGATATAAAAGTTTTATATGAAGACTTTCTTTTTTTTTTTAATTTATTTTTTCAAATACATTTGTCTCTGCCTACCCCGCACCACTTTCCCTTGCCCCCTTCCTCCTTCCCTCCCTCAGCTCTTCCCCTTTGGTTTTGTCCATGAGTCCTTGCTATATGTTCCTTGACTTTCCCCTTCCCTTCCTTTTCCCCGCCCCCTCCCCCTTCCCTCTTGTCTCTGTTGATTTCTTTTCCTTTCAGTGTTGCTGGTCTTATTTTCCTTGCATCTTTGTATTGTTGGTTAGGTTCCACTTATAGGTGAGATCATACGGTATTTGTCTTCCCCCCCCCGCCCCCCCCCCCGGCTTATTTCGCTTAGCATAATGCTCTCCAGTTCCATCCATGCTGTCGGGAAGTTTAGTAGTTCTTTTTTTCTTTCTGCTGCATAGTCTTTTTTTGTTTTTAAAGATTTTATTTATTTACTTGTAGAGAGAGGGGAAGGGAGGGAGAAAGAGAGGGACAGAAACAGCAATATTTGAGAGACACGCTGGGGACTTGGCCCACAACCCAGGCATGTGCCCTGACCGGGAATCAAACTGGCGACCTTTTGGTTTGCAGGTCGGCACTCAATCCATGGAGCCATACCAGCAAGGGATGAAGACTTTTAAATCATGACAAATACAGATGAAACTGTTGAGCCCTGGCTGGTGTGGCCCAGTGGATTGAGCACCGGCTTGCGAAACAAAGGTTCTCCAGTTTGGTTCCCACTCAGGGCACATGCCTGGGTTGTGGTCTGGGTGCCCAGTTAAGGGCGCACAAGAGGCAACCACACGTTGATGTTTTTCTCTCTCTCTCTTTTTCCCTCCCTTCTCCTCTCTCTAAAAATAAATAAATCTTTAAAAAAACAAAACAAAAAAAACCCTGTTGAACCCTTTCATTATTCATGCCAATTCTTCAGTTAAGGAAAATGAAAAGAACTTGCCCTGGCTAGCACCTCTAATAAAAAGTTGAATAGATGTGACAAGAACAGACACCCTTATCATCTTCCTGATTTTAGAGGGAAAACGTCCAGTCTTCACCATTAAGAATAATATTAGCTGTGGGTTTTTGTGGATACCTTTATCAACTTGGGGAAATTTCCTTCTATTCCTAGTTTGTTGAGTACCTTTATCATGCAAGAGTACTGGATTTTGTTGAATGCTTTTTCTGTGTCTATTGAGATGATTGTGTGACTTCTGTTTTTTTATTCTGTTGATATGATCTATTATTATTAATTGACTCTCAGGTGTTGAACCAACATTTATCCTTAAGTTAAATCCACATCCTCGTGGTGTATAACTTTTTTATAGGTTGCTACGTTCATTTTGCTAGTAATTTGTCAAGAATTTTTCCATTCATATTTATAAGCGATATTCGTCTGTAGTTTTCTTTCCTTGTAATGTCTTTGTCTGATTTTGGTATTGGCCCTTACTGAAAGAGTTAAGAAGTATATCCTCTCTTTATTTTTGGACGAGTTGTGAAGAATTGGTATTAATTCTTCTTCGCATATTTGATAGAATTCAGTAGTAAAGCTATCTGGGTTGGCACTTTTCTGTGTGGGTAGTTTTTCATTACTAACACAGTCTCTTCACTTGTTATAGGTCTATTTGGATTATCTGTTTGTTCTTTAGTTAAGTTCAGTAGTTTTTGTCCTTTTTGGAATTTGTCCATTTCTTCTAAGCTATATAAATTGTTAGGTACAGCTGTTCATAGTATTCCTGTATAATCCTTTCTATTAAGTAGGGAAGTCAGCGGGATGTCTTCTCTTTCATTTCTGATTCTAGTGATTTGAGTTTCTCTTTTCTCAGTCAGTCCAGGTGGAGGTTTTTCATTTCTGTCAATCTTTTTAAAGAACCAGCTTTTAGTTTCATTGATTTTTCTCTACTGTTTTCCCATTCTCTATTTCATTAATTTTCATTCTGTTTTTTTTTTTTAATTTCCTTCCTTGGCCTATTTAGTCTGCTCTTTTCTCAGTGTCTTAAGGTAGAATGTTAGGCCATTGATTTGAGATCTTTCTTTTTTCTTAATACAGGAATTACAGCTAAATTTCCCTCTAAGCACTGCTTTAAACACATTCCGTAAGTTTTGGTGTGTGGTGTTTTCATTTTCATTCATCTCAAAGTATGTCATAATTTCCCTTTTGATTTCTTCTTGACCCATCGGTGATTAGAAATATGTTGTTTAATTCTACACATTTATGAGTGTCCCAAATTTCTTTCTAATTTCTAATTTTCTTTCATTTTAATTAGAGAATACTTTGTATTACTTTGATTCTTTAAATTTATTGAGGTTTGTTTTATGGCCTGCCATAAGACCATAATGTTTTATATTCACTTGATAAGAATATATATTCTGTTGCTGTTGAGTGGAGTGTTCTAAAAGTGTCTGTTAGGCTAGTTGGTTGTTCAGGTCTTCTGTTTCTTTGTCAATTTTTATTGGAACGTAACCCCATCATAAGTAGAGAAACATATGTACTTGAGTATGTCCACAGCCACTCTGGGATGACAGTGGTTTTGGTAGGACTGTCTTCTTCTCATTCACTGACCACACCAAAATGAAATTTCACTTACTGACAGCTGATTTTTGTTTTTTCAGCAATGCTCTGAGGCATAAATTGCTATATAAGCTAATTGGATCAAATTCTGACACCATTAAAGGAATAGTGTCTGAGGTCAGTGTTTGATATTTGTTCTGAGTCAAGGATGTATCCTCCTAGATGTCGTATTTTCTGGGTTTTCCACGCAAACTAGGTGGCCTCAGTTTAACCTGTATCTTGACTCTTCTCTTAATTACCTTTTACTACAATTTCCATTGCTCTTGAGGGTGTCCTGGGGCTTGAACTTCTGCAGTCTCTGTTGTTGCAGATGAAGTCAGTTTCTTTGGAAAGGTACTGGGCGCTATCTGGTTTATGACCTGCGTCTTCCTCCAACTAAAACCTCTGGGCCAGGGCTCTGGAGCCAGAGGTAGAAACTATGGCAAGCCTTTCTCTGAGTGACACCCCGAGTATAAGTGCCGAGTGCTTGGCAGAGGGCGAGTACAGCGGCCTTTCCTGATACGGAGCCACCACCTCTGGAGCTGGTGTAAGGGTCCTCAGGGTCCTGGCACTCTCGGTGTGCTTTACCCAAGGGAGGGGCTTTATTCCAAGAGTGCGGCTGGGTAGGTAAAGAGCCCGCACCTCTTGACCACGTTTGCGAAGGACTTAGTCTCAGCCACAGATGGCTGGTGGCAGGACGAGAAGCACTGAAGCTCTATTCCTGCTGGAAAGAAAGCCCTCTCTGACTGGGAGCTGGGGGCCCAGGGAGCCCTGTGTTCTTTACTGCAACCGTCTCGTCTTGTGGAGTCTGCCTTGTTGAGCAGGGAGGGAGGAGGAAAGAGTGGCCTTGGCTCAAATACCAGCTTTTTTTACTGAATTTTCATAGATTTTCTTTAATCATTTCTTCTTTTGCTGTTTGTCCTTGGGACCATATCCAGGGTCTTTGAATGTTTGTGTTTTGTTTTGTTTTACAGTTTTCACCAGTTTTGCTAGAAAACAGGTCCATATAACTCCTCACACTGTTAGGCCGGAAGTCAAACTCCTAGCCATTTGATTTTCACAAGGGTGACAAGACAATTCAGTGGAGGAAAGACTAACCTTTTCCAACGAATAGTGCTGGGATAGTTGGATATCCAAATGTGAAAAAATGAAGTTGGATTCTGCCTCAGATCATAGATAAGGATTAACTCAAAATGAATGAAAAACCTAAATGTGATAGTTAAACCTAAACCTCAGAAGACAACATAGTGTTTCATATACACATAGGTATATGAAACATACATATGTACATATATATACATATGTATATATGTATGTGAAAATGAACCTTGGATTTGGAAATGGTATTAGCTATGATACCAAAAATACAGCAACAAAAGAAAAAGTAGGTAACTTGGAAACTGAAAACTAAAATGTTTTGTTCTCAAAGGACACGATTAAGTAAATGAAAAGACAACCCACAGAACGGGGGAAAATATTTGCGCATCATATATCTGATAAGGGACTTGTATCTACAACATATAAAGAGCTCTTGCATCTCAGTAATAAAAAGACAACTCAATTTAAAATGGGTAAGGATATGAATACAAATGGCCAGTAAGCAAGACATCATTAGCCACCAGGGAAATACAAATCAAAACTGCAATTCCACTACATGCCTACGAGGAGCGCTATAATCAGAAAGACAAATATTCAGGTCTTGAGTTATTTCATTGATCATTATTCAATTCTGTGAATGATCACTATACCAAAAAAAAGGCAAATTACAACTATTGGTGAAGATGTGGAGAAATTAACCGTTGTACACTTTCGGTGGGAATGTAAAATCATATAGTTACTTTTGAGAACAGCCTCGCAATTCCTGTAATGGTTAAACATAGAATTATATGACCAGCAGTTCCACTTTTAGTATATACTCAAGAGAAGTGAAAATATATGAATACATAAAAACCTATAGATGAACGTTTGTAGCAGCATCATTCATAATAGCCAAAATGGAAGCAACCCAAATGTCTATCAGTGGTTGAAGAGATAAATAAGATGTTGTAGATCCATCCAATGGAATATTAGTCATTCATAAAGAGGAATGAAATACTGATACATGCTACAGCATAGATGAACCTTGAAACCATTATGCTAAGTAAGAGGAACCAGTTGCAAAGGACCACATATTGTACAGTATACCATTTATGTGAAACTTCTATAATAGAGAAATGAATAGACACAAAATGTATGTTAGTGGTTGCTAAGCCTTTATGGGTTGGGGAATTGGAAAAGGATTACTGAAAAACATGGGGTTTCCTTTTGGGCTGATGAAAATGTTCTAAAATTGATTATACTGATGGATGTTCCACGCTGAATATACTAAAAGCCATTGAATTATATATATAAACTTTAGGTGGGTGAATTGTATGGAATGTGGAAGATTTCAGTTAAACTGTTACAAAATTAAAATGAAGCAAAGCAAACATCTTAGTCACAACAAAACTCATATCTTTTCAGCCAAGCATCTTCAAGACCTTCTCATGGAGAGTGTGAATTTTTCCCCTGCCAATCTCTCCAGCACGGCGTCTAGGTATCTGAATGCTTTGGTTGACACTGCCATGGCCCTTGAAACAAAGGATACCTCACTAGCTAGGTAATTTTTTTGACAGTTTTAATTTCTACAGTCATATATGCTATAAGGTCTTAACCTAAACACTTTTTGTTTCTCTGTGTAATTCTTTGTAGGAAAGTAACAATAAATGCCAGAACATTGAATTTAATAATTAACTACTTATCATTGCTAGTGAGTATGCATAATAAATTCAGAGAAATTTGGTATTGGTTAAATTTTAGTGTTTTCTTCTTCAAGGATTAGGTTTACGAAGCTTGATTCTTATGTATATTTGGAACGGTGTTAGGCTCACATTGTTCCCTATAAATATACAATAGAAAAGCTGTAAGCTAAGTCATCTGGTCAAGCTTAGTGAGTTTTGGTTATATTCCTGCCTTATTGAATAGAGTAGGTTAAGGACCTATATTCTTTGTTATAGACATTTCACCTTTATGATGACATTATTCTTCCAACAACCTTAAGAGGAAACTGAAGTTTAGGAGGGGCATTAGATAACCTCGAGCTAGTAAATGGCAGAGTTGAGATTCAGACCCTGTCTAACTCCAGAGTCTATATGAGTGTCACTGGTGGCCCTATCTTAGCTGGGACGACCCCTACAACTTACAGAGAACTGTGTGGCTATTCTGCTTCATTGCCAGTATAAAGGCTTGGAGTTTATATATATGCTCAAGAGTCGTGTTTCAGGAATAAGTATGTGTATGTTGTATGGCAGCGGACATCTAGACTTAAGTCAACTCAGCAGACACTAAATACTGGTTATATGCCACATATATATATACACACATACGTAGCACTGAGGAAGCAGAGATGAATAGGATAGTAATTGCAGTCTAGGACAGTCTCTGCTTTGGTCAAATAAGGGAGGGGGATGCGTAAAACTATAACACAGTGTGTGACAGCTGTAACATAAGAATGTACAAGCTGTAGCCAGGCACAGAGAAAAGGGTAGTGAATTCCGGGATGGGAATAAATCTTATTTGCGTTTTGAAGGAAATGGAAATTTGTCAGCTGAAGAAGGGCTTTCCAGGCAATGGGAAGAACATGTACAAAATATACAGAGGTATGAAACAGCATGGTTATGGAAGAATCTACACAGAGATAAAATCATTGTTAGAAATGAGGAGTAATTGTAATTGTTGTCCTTGGTGTCCATTTATGTGACCAGATCTTTTCTTAATTGTATTTTTTTTTTTTTTTTTTTTTTTTTAGTTTTCTCCCTGCAGTGAATGATTTGACCTCTGATCTTTTTCGTACCAAATCCAAAAATGAAGAAATCAAGCTTGAATTGGCAAAACTTGAAAAAAATTTAACTGCAAGTTTAGTATTAGAAAAATGTCTAAGAGAGTAAGTAATTGAGTTGAAAGTGGTGATAGCTTTTATGAAAAGGCAATAATAGCACGTTATTATATTTAGTTTTTAAATCAATAGATATGATTTAAAACAACACACTAAGAAATGGGGTCCATAAAATTTTTTAAGTAGAAAATGACCTGGGTGGAGGTAAAAGGGTGGTTGAGTATAGACTTTTAACTTTTATTTCATACAATGTCTTACTTTTTTTTTGTCTTTTTACAAATAACCTGGGTTTTATAATTTTCAAAATGTATGTGAATTTTTTTTTATTTATATACTACAATGTAACTTAAAGTACATTATATTTTGTTGCCTCCCTTTTAACTAGTTCTCTGCTATCCCTCTTGATGTTCTGGACCTTTCTTAGGTCTCTGTTGCCCCAGAGATTAGATGCAATGGATCAGGAGTGTGTACATGCACAAGTCATTTCGCAGTGTATACATTTACTCAATAAATACTGACAATGTATATGCAAGACACTGTGTCATGTCACATTTAGGAGAGAGGCCTTTCGAGACCTCCATAATTCAATCTGACTTTAGGGTATGTTAAGTCACTTTTTTGAGCAGCAGATTTACTTTCTCCAAGAATAATTGTCATAAACTAATTGTAAAACTATTTCATATTTCTTGAGAAATATCCCAGATGGCAACATGGAGTGAGAGATGACCCAGAAGAATGACTGTTAACTAGTCTGGGATACAAAAGTTATGGTAGAAAATCCAACAAGTATTTTAGCTACTTTTGTCTAAACCAGAGTTGAATCCAAAAAGTTAATAGAATTTTTTAAATAAAAATTTCACTGAGGAGAAGAAAATGTTTTCAATTTTACATTTTAAAGTGATCTCAAGAAGGCAGAACTGCATCTGTCTACGGAAAGGGCCAAAGTTGACCATCGCCTTCAGAACACGGACTTCCTAAAAGCAAAGTCAGAGGAGTTCAGATTTGGAATCAAAACGGCAGAGGTATGTATGAAGGACTGAATATAGTTAGATCTCTTTATACTTCTTTTTGACCTTCGTCTTCACAACTAGGCAGTGTTGCTATTCCCCTTTTACAGACAAAAGAGCTGACTACAGAGGAGATAGGTAACTTGTCCAACGTTACGTAGCTATTGCACTTAGCAGTGGATCCAGATTCAAATGCTGGCAGCTGGGCTCTGACGCTCAGGATCTTAAGAAGCACTGCACCCATCTTACTGCAAATCTGTGGCTATGGAAATGGTTGACATGCAACATAAAAGTGTTTAGATGCATGTATAGTTTTTCATCTGCGACTTGTAGCTGCTTTTTACAGGCTATATGTTGAAAATATTTAAAGACGGTCACTTGGGAAAATAATTTTTTTAAGCAAACCCCCCTTTTTTGTAATTGTAGGAGAAACTTTTAGCCAGAGGCATGGATGCTTCTTTGTCACATCAGTCACTAGTAGCACTTTCAGAGGTGAGCTTATTTTAACCCAATTTAACTTTCTTTAAAATCTTAGTGCACAATCTCCTTTTCCTACTTGTTTCTTTTGTAGAGCCTTATGGACTATTGACCTGATTTTTTTCCCTTTACTTCTGTATTTTATGTTCACCATATCTTTATTTCTTGTTTAGCTGTATGTACCCTCACATTTGCTTGGTTTACTTTTTCTTTTTTTGGGGGGGTGAGAAAAATAAATAGTGATTAATGAATTTAATGAACAACTTAAGTAGGTTTTCTTTATTACTATAAGCTAGAAACTCTTTGATGGAGTCAGTTATACATTATTGATTTATTTATTTATTAAATAAATTTATTGAGGGACTATGTGCTAACCATCTAGGTTTTTCTCCTTTTCTTTCAGAGTGCAATAAAAATGCAGGCCCCAAAACTCCTGTAGAATGCAATTCTGGGTTTTTAGGTTGTATAAGGATTTTATCTATTTTGGTGGGAAGAGGGAGTAATAGGGGCTTTGTTTTATTACTCTTAAGATTTTTTTTCGTACTTTGATTTTTGGAATCTAAAGTTGACAATTTATAAATATGTATTTGAGATTCTGATTCTTCCCTTACATTTTGATCCCTCTTAATCACATTATTTAGGGTGCTTAGATATCATACTCAAATCCTATTTTTAGTAAATAGGAGTATAACTTTTCTATTTTAAGCATCTTATAAGGACTGTTTCCATTGGAAATGCATTTGTCTGTTTATCTTTGAAGGTATTTATTTGATAGATTATTTAAACTATCCTAATATTACTACTTTACCGTATTTTATTTCAGAAATGGGCAGTATTTAGTTGCATTGTGAATATCTCTATTACTTTATGATTCCGTGTTTTTTTCATCTCCAGAAACTGGCAGAACTGAAACAACAGACTATACCCTTGAAGAAAAAATTGGAGTCCTATTTAGATTTAATGCCGGTAATTATTTCTATGAATTAAAAAATGAAGATATCTTTTTTAGTGCCTTCCCCAAAGACACTAAATGATCATGAATATAGTGAGTCCATGCTTAAGGATTTAAAAGTCCAAGCTGAATTTACAATGGGTAAACTCTCTGTCAGGTTTCTTGACTTTTGAAAAGGATCATTACATTTTTTTCCCCTTGAGTCCTTATTGAGGTAACATAACCTTTCCTTCCTTGTTTTGTTTTTCTTTAAAAGAATCCATCTCTTGCTCAGGTGAAAATTGAAGAAGCAAAACGAGAATTAGTAAGTTCCATTTTATCTTCAAGTTTTAAAAAAGACAAAATAAATGCTGATATAGCTAAAGCTCGCTTTATCCTTCTTCCTTTTTCCTCCTCAAAGCAAAACTGCAGTCCCAAAGTCGCTGTGTATCATTCCCATGCATCTTTTAATACTTTTGGCATACTTTTCCATAAAAAAATACAGTGGTCTTTTATGTCTTTTAAATTTTTGCTTAGATATTCTTGGTAGAAGGGTGGGAGTGTGAGACTTAAATATTCTAGACAAAAGGAATTGACCAATGCACAAGAGCCGAAAATGGAGAACTTTTCCAAGTTCTTTGAGAGCTTTGGCAAGTGATGAGGTACAGCTGCCTGGAAGTATTCAGTGGAAGATAGGACTGAAGATCAATCAGTTCATACTGTAAAGGGCCTTTAATATAAAGAGGATGGAGTCTGTTGGGGACCACTAAAAGTTGCTGCATGTTTCCTTGTTCTTTAAGCAAATGAGAAATGTGATCAGCGCTATGTTTTTGATCAGGTCAGTTATTTAGAAAGATGAATCTGGAATCAGTGTATAGGGTGGATTAGAGGAGAGAAAGAAAATTGCAGGAACCAGTTAGCATTTTTAGGCCAGATGACAAGTAATGAGAACAGTGGCAATGAGAATGGAAAAGAGGTGATGAGAGACATTACGGAAGTACATTGTTTAAGGCGTAAAGATGAGGAAAAGCTACTCATGTATCATTATACTAATTCATCTCCCTAAAATTTCCCCCTCTTTAGCTGTTTATTAGAATCAAGAGTCTGAAAAACTTTGGGGGTCTAAAAGCATATTTAATATTTTTTTTTACATTTCTGTTTTAATATTTTTTCTTCTTTTGTTTTCCTTATTTTAAATAACAGAAGTTAAGAGCACCTGTTGTATGTCTTTCTTCATAGTATTTCAGGTGATTTTTTCTTCCTTTAGGATACCATTGAAGCTGAACTTACAAAGAAAGTAGAAATGATGGAACTGTGAACAAGCCAAGTAAACTTTGTCTTCTCTAACAAAGTAAATTAAATAGGACTTTAAAGAATTGATTCCTCGCCATGGCTGGTGTGGCTCAGCTGGGCATTGTCCCGCAAACTGAAAGGTCTCCTGTTTGAATCCCAGTCAGGGCATATACATGGATTGCTGATTCGGTCCTGGATTGGAGTGTGTACGAAAGGCAACTGATGTTTTTCTCTCACATCGATGTTTCTCTCCCTCTCTTTCTTCCTTCCCCACTCTCTCATTTTTTTTTTCTTTAAGTATTGTTTCCTCTTGGCATTCCTTAATTATTTACTCGCTGTGTTCTTAGTGAGATAATGTCACTATTGATAGGATAGTGGTTTCTGCTATGTATTGCATTTTTGTTGCGTAGTTTTCGTATTAAAAATGTTGGTTTTCTATATTGCTGGTCGTTCAGTGTCCTTCTGTAGTTCTGTTAGGTGAACATTACGATGGCTGTTATGAGGTCACTTATTAGGTCAGGTGAAAAGGAAAGGTTCTGTAACTCCAGTCACGCTTTTCCCGCTCCCCCCTCTCTAGGGGTTAGCTTTTGATCAGCTCACCTGCCTACCTCCAAATGTTAATCTATGCAGGAATTTAGTTTATGAAAAAGATGGCCTTTAAAATCAGTGGTAGAGAGATGGATAGTTCAACAGATGGTGCTAAATCCATACTCACACCTATGTCAGGATAGTTTCAAAAGATCAGAGATTTACATATTTTTAAAACGTGTAAGAAATGAAGGGGTTTTAATGTTTTGACTTTGAAATAATCATAGTCAGCAATATATGACAAAAATCCAGGAACCATAAATGAAATTATTGAAATACTTGAAAAATTTGAAATATTAAAAATTCCTGCATGGAGAGTCTTCCATGGATATGACAAATATGGTGCAAAAGGAAGAGAAATTTTACACTGGGCACCTTTTTGTACTTTAAAAAAATTTTATACCATGTGATTAGGAAGCAATCGGTTTTTTAAAGATTATTTAAATGACCTTAAAAATTTCCTTCCTCTCCTTTTCTACAAATCTGTAGCTAAATATACTACAAAATACAAAAAAATTTTGGGGAGAATTGTCTTTTCTGTTCTGAAACTGCCATATTCTTTAGCCATTTATGTTTTGGGGTTTAGTCTTTTTCTTAATCTATAGGCGCTCTTTACATATTAGCTAAATTACTCTTTGTGATTTCACTTATAAATATTTTCCAAGTTTGTCACTTTGACTTAATTGCAGGCCTTTTGGCAAGGCAGCCTGGTAGCTTGATGATGGTAAGGACCATAATAGTCCCCCCACCCCTGTGCACTCACCCTTTGCATCTTGGCTGTACCACTTCTCGCATCAAGGGGTGGAGTCTCTGTCTCCACCTCTTATATCTGGCTTGGCCCTATGATTTATTTTGGTCAATGAGACAATAGGAAATGTGACAAAAGCAGAGAATTAAAACCTGCTTATGCATTAGAACTTGCTCTCTCTTACTGCTCTGGAATTCTGAGACCACCACCTGAAGATCCCTAGACAAACCTCCTGGAGTATGAAAAACTACGTGGAGCAGAGACATGTAATTCCAGCTGATCCCTGCCCCCACCCTAAGAACAAACAGGCTGCCTACTGCCAGACATGTGAACGAGGCCTTCTTAGACTATCCAGCCCCAGTCGAGTCATCAGCAGACTTCAGAGAGAAAGCAAGCTCAGGCCAGAGTCAACCCGTGGAATTGTGAAAAGTAATGAACGATTGTTCTTTGAAGCTTATTTTAAGTTTTGGGATGGTCGTTATCTGCAGTAGCTAATTGATAAAAGTAGCTTTTGAAATTAATGTTCAAAGAAAAAGGTAAAAAACATATAAAAAAGAATCATAAACCTGTGACTAGCATTTTATAAAACAGTAGTTATATTAATTTTAAGTGAGAAGGTATTTTAGTTAAAAGGCAAAGATTGAAAGAGTATGTTTTTCAATCTTTGAAAACATGTCCATTTTTAGTCCCCTTAGGTATAAGGAGACTAAATGGTAATGGGAAAAAAATACTATAAAGGTTTTTTAAAAAGGGTAAGGGATTTGAATAGACATTTTCCCAATGAAGGTATATGGATGCCCAATAAGCACATGAAAAGATGCTTGACATTATTAGTTGTTAGGGAAATAAAAAAACCACAAAGAGATACTACCTCATACCTAGTAAAAAAAACTAGAATATATAAAAGATAGTAAGTGTTGGTGAGAATGTAAATAAATTGGAACCTTCATACACTAATGACAGGGATATAAAGTAGTACAGCTAGTTTGGAAAACAGTTTGGCAGGATCTCAAGTGATTGAACACAGAGATACCATTTGTCCCAGCCATTTAACTCCAAAGTATATGCATATACCCGAGAGAAATGAAAACATAGCCATACAAAACATACATGAAAGTTTACAGCAGCATTATTTGTAACAACCCAAGCTGATGGGTGGATAAACAAAATGTGGCATACCCACACAATAGAATATTACTCAGCCATGAAAAGGAGTGATGTACTGATACATGCTCCAACACGGATGAATTTTGAAATCATTCTGCTAAATGAAAGAAGCCAGTCACAAATGGTCATGTATTAAGAATTTCATTCATATAAATAGTCCAGAAATGCATAGAGATAAAGCGAATCGATTGTTGCTTAGTGCTGGAAAAATGAGGGATATGGGTGGTGGATAAAGGGTATAGAGTTATTTACGAGGTAAGGTTTCTCATGTCTGTGAATGTATTGAAAGCCATTGAATTATATGCTTCAGATGGGTCAATTGTATAGTATGTGAATTATATTTTAATAGTGTTGAAAAAAGATGTGCAGATTAAGAGATGAAGTTAGTGAAGTAAGCCATCTACCCCAGGAAGTTAGAAAGAGTACAATAAACCCAAAGAATCAACAGAAAGAAATGATGAAGATAACAGCAAAAATTAATGAAACAAAATAAACACAGTGGAGAGGATCAACAAAGCCAAAGTTGGTTCCTTAAAAAAAACTAGGAAATTTACAATGTCATCTAAATTTTTAAATGTATAGACACAGCATTGTTAATATTCTCTAGTCTCCGGAATCTAAAGTAAACCCATTGGTTATTTGCTTCAACAAAATTTGGGGTTAAAAATAAATGGGGCTGAGCCTTGGGTCCAGAGCAAAGAGAAGTGAATAGCTCACAGAGAAGTCAAGGGCAACAGCTCAGCCTGACCTCTCTATTTGCCTTTGTGTGCCAGGAAGTATGTGGAGTGTGGTCAAACAAACATCCAAGGCAGCCCAGAATTAAACCTTTTTGCTCTATTTGTAGGTCTCTAACCTGCATATTTTCTGGAAACATCAAATAAATCCACATGTACTAGAGTGGAGAGGGGTTTTTTTGTCTAATTCTGACCCCTAGGCTGTCTGTTCATCTATAGAGAACCACTGCTTTTTCCCTAAATACTTCTGTATTTATCTTCTAAGAACAAAGACATTTGATAATCACAGTAAAATAACCAAATTCCAGAAAGTTAACATTGATGAAATACTATCTAATAAATAGTGTACTCAAATTTCTCCAATTGTCTCAATGTGCTTCTTCACAATTGTTTTTCCAATCCAGGATCATAACATTATGTGTAGTTGTGTCTGTCTTAAAACAATTTTTGATATCTGGTTTTAACCATTTTGCTTTTGCTGCTTCATTATACTCTCTTTTCTAAGTCTATGAAACTTCTCCCCCAAAATGCAGGTGTCTGAGTTAGGGTGGCACAAACTAGGAGCCATGACATATTGAGGTCCAAGTCATGGAGGGTCATTGTCCTTTCCCCAGCGTTCTGTCCTGTGGGAGGGACAGTACTGTCAATAAATTTGCTTTTGTCTATATACTAAATTAAGAACTCATGACCTAGGCAGGGGCTCAAATTGCCAGCAGAATGGGATTAGCTATTACAGCTTCTGCCCCTTAGGAAGCATGTGAAGCTAGATGTTGGATAAGAAGTGCAGCATGAATTAAAAGTTCCTCACTAGCACATGTCTGAAGCTGTTTTGAGTAGACAGGATTGTGCATGGATGTCCTTCGAGCGTGTTTGACTGCCAGGGGCACTTTTCCTTGTGAATTCTCACCAGAGCACGTAAACAGATGGCTCACCATATTCTGGCTCAGACCCTGTGCCTGGACTTCTGATGTCCTGGCTTTGGTGAGACACCACCCAACGAGGCCACTCTGCCAGCTTTATTTAGTACCATGATTCACGGACCATTTCTGATCTTAGCACAGCTTCCTTTCACATTGTGCAGGTATATATTTTTAGGTTCATCTTTCAGTACCCAGCTCTCTCATTTACAGTTTTCTTTAAATTCTGCAGCAGCATTTCTGGGCTGACAGGCTGCCTCCGCTACACTGAGAGAGAGAATTTCAGGATCCAGAATTTGTAAAGCATGTTCAGACATGAAACCTAGCTCTTATGCTGCCTTGCAATGTGACCTTAACGATATCATCTAAATTCTCACCTGTCAAGTGGAAATAATATTTGCCCTATGTCTGTTATCATTCATTCATTCATCCACTTTTTTTTTTGACCACCCTAAATTGTTTATTAGGTAAGAATTTTACAAACAATACTTATATTAGTAGTAATGGTGGAGCTGGAGAGTATTGTGTCTTTTCCAAGCTGCACAGTGAGAATCACTGATAGTGGGGTGGAACTTGCGTCCCTTTCCCCGGCCAGGACTCTTGCTGCCTGCTGATGTCAGTCCTTGCATCTCCCTGGGCTTGTGGCCTGGTTTGGTGATCCATTGGGTGGCAGGGTTCCATGGCAGGGTTCCTTCTGGTAGCTTCACAGAATTGACCGATGAGGATAACCTCAAAGAGTTTGTGGAGTCTTACCCAACCCAGTAAGAATACAGGACTCTCTCAGCCCCTAGTGGCATCCAGATTGCTCCTCAGCAGCAGACTGAAGGCTCTGAGCAGACAGCTGATAAACACCGTGATGGACAGGCTCGCTGTAGGTCGTACCCTTAGGAACTCATGGGCGTTCCCAGCCACCACTGCACACACGAATCTGATACATGACACAACTTCCCTTGGCCTTGTTTCCCATCGGGTGTTCTTTATCGGCCCGCTTGGACACGGGGGTCCTGTGGCGCAGAGTGAGCTGGCTGGCAGTACTGCCAGCAGTTCAGCCTGAGAAGGAAACCCATCACATCAGACTGCTGCCGCCTCCGTAGCTCCTTGATGTACTTGGAAGCTCCCATCTTGGCCTACCTGATGGCTGCGGCCAGCCAGAAAGGCCCTCCACTTATTTATTAAATAC